TTATTTTACACATTTATCGCTCTAAAGGTCAATTATAAGGGAACTAAAGAAACAACACTATGCAAAATGAATAAACCAATTTCTGTTGCCATCACCATATGTTTTTCTTATCACTTATGGTTTTTCCAGTTACTGTGTACATAGCATTCAATTAAAGCGATTCATTTACCAGGCTGAATGTGGTTTGTGTTTATAGAACTGTGCTTTGGAGGAGAGGAAACAACACGCCTCTATTTGAATTACCTGATTTTTTTGCAAGATCAGTGATAAGAGACAGATGTTCTTACCAGTTACTTTCTCATAAACCAAATCTTTTGATAAACTGCAGATTCACAATTATCATCTTATAATCCTGCTATACCCTCAATGTATAACATGGACTTTTAACCAAAACAAGAGAAAAATACTAGTTTGGTGGCCAGTTCACTTTATTACAACATTTTGCCAGAAGAATTGTATTTCTTTTGAACAAAAGCATGTGAAAGAGTTTTTTTCTATGTTTCCTGTTCTGCTTTCAAGAATGAACTTAATTCTATTTTAGATTCATTTGTCATTGAGCTTACTGTTTAGTGTGTTTAAAGTGTGGAAAACTCGTTCTTGATCTAAAACTAATTTGTCTGTGGTTATGTTCTAGAACTCCTTAGGATAATGAAACCTAGACAATCTAAAATGATAATTTTCCTGTTTTTATTTCATTATTTGCCTCATAAATTATATACACTATGGGTAATGTCCATAATGTCTCATTAAGAATGTTATCTGAGCCAGGCTCGGTGGCTCAGTCTGTAATCCCATGCCTTTGGGAGGCTGAGGTGAGTGGATTGCCAGAGCCCGCGGGTTTGAGACCCGCCTGGGCAGTGAGACCTCATCTCTACAATAAATTTAAAAAAAAAAAAATTAACCAGGCATGGTAGCGAGCGCCTGTAATTCCAGCTACTTGGAAGGCTGAGGAGGAAGGATCGCTGGAGCCCAGCAGGTCGAGGCTGCGGTGGCCGGGAGCGGCCACTGCACTCTAGTCTGGGCGACAGAGACGCCAACTCAAAAAAAAAAAAAAAAAGAATGTTATCTGAAGGCACTAATTTCCAGAGCTTTTAAATTACTGGTATAATGTGTCTTCCAAGAGGCTTGTTTGTGTCATGTTTGAAATTTTTTCAAATATTCTTTCTGTAGATCAGCAAAATAATAGTTCACTGAATTATACAAACTAAACCTGTAAAGTAAATTCTACAAAGTAAAACTTTTCAGAGTCCTTCCTTTACTGAAAAATAAATGTGTTACTGTTACTCGATTTACTTATGCCTTGCCTGTTTTCAGCTTGCAAAGGGTTGTGTTCACATCTACTGTCCCATCAGATGTACGTCCTATTTTGTGGAAGAGAAGTGTGAAGCTCTATGTATGATCTGCCCAGTCACACAAGGCTTGGAGCTCAGGCCTTGTGGCCCCAGCTCTAGGGTTTTGTTTTGTTTTTTTTTGCCCCCGCAGAGCTTGGATGCAGAGGCGCTTTTCACATGTGATCTCAGCGGAGGCAGCACTGAGCAGCATCCATTCCCATGGTGGGAAGAGCATCCTCTCCCCTCATCTCAGCCAGTCCTTGATGCATGCAGGAAGAGAAGTTAAGAACTTCTCTTCACCACCCCAGCGGTGCAAGCAGCCCTTCTTAACAAGGGGAGCTGTTCTCAGACCCAGAGTATCTATCAGACAGTAATATTTTTAGCACAGATTTAGTAGCACTAGTTTTCATCATTGTGTTGACTTGAGGGTCATTTTCTATTTATGACTAAGGATATCAGTTTTCCAGAACAATCATATTTAAGTTCAAAAAAGGTAAGTTGCTTTGAAAAGCCTATTAGGTGAACAATGTTCACTTTAGATATAGGGATGGCAAAGGCATGAGGGTTGGGCTTGAGTGATGGAGCCTGGGAGGCGCCATCCTGTCCCATGTGTGTATACAGCCAGAGGCAGTGAGGAAGCCTCAGAATCCCTCAGTTCTTGTTTTATTTTTCCAAAGATTCCAGTGATGGCTGTGATCTAATGTACTGAAGGGAAGCTGCAGTAAGGATTCTCGGATGAGTTGGAAATGGGTGGAGCACTTTGCGGACGTCCCTCTTTTGGGAGTTACACAGCTGTTCTCTTTTGAGCACCACATGGTTCTTCCTAATTTTGAGATGTTATCACAAAGATGGAATCTTTGGGTTGTTCCATCTCAGTGTGGTGGAGCAAAATAAGCAGGCATATGGCCCTCATTTGGCTGGCGGGTCATACAGTCCCCTCTTAAACCCCCACATTAACCCTACCCCAGTGCTGTCCCTGGCGATTTGGGCACAGGTCCTGCATCTCCTTTGGGGCACTGTCTTCCGTGGGTGGCGGGGCAGGGTAGGCTAGCCATCTGTTCTTTGGCCCGCTCTTTCCAGTCCTCTTGCCCATAGAGACAGGTTCCGTTGGAGTGACTGGCTGGGGGCCAGGGGCTGGGGGAGCCGTGTGACTTTATCTTAGCCACATGCATAGCTGCTGTCTTTAGCATCAATAGCAACTTAGTCATTTTTCCTGAATGCCCCATTTTACAGATCATTGCCTTTACACATATGAGCCTTATGAAGCATTCGTTTACGAATTCTGGCTTTAGCTTGTTAAAGGATTTAGTTCATAATTCCCATAAACTTATCCCAGAGAAACATTTTTCAATTATAACTTTAAATTCCAGTGGTGAAAATGGCTTATATGATTTAAATATGTGCTAAAGACATTTAAAACCCACAGGCCTCAAGGTTTAGAGCCTCATCTCAACAGATGGAATTAACACAAACATAACCAAGTTGACATCATGGCTGTTTGCATTATTAATCTTCACATGTATGGCATTCTGCTACCTTGCTAGCCAGGTTTGCACGAATCTTTTCATTGCAACATATGTCAACAGAAATGTGCTTCCATCTGCTGCTGGGTAGCTTGATGCCTGATATTCCGAGACAAGACCCAGCACAATGCGTACCTCTGTGAGTAATTACAGGTGTGTGGTGAGAAGCCCAGGGCATTAATCAGAGGCTTAATTATGAAAAAGGTGGATCTTTTGTTCCACTCCTAGAGTCAGAGTTTACCACACACTTTCTGAACCACAGCATCCATCTGCTCGGCCCCTCAGAATGTTTGCCTTGGCTGATATGGACCCCAAAGTGTATCAAAGGATGTGATTAAAGCTGGCTTAACCATTAACCTCAAGGAAGCGTGCTTTGGGTTTTTCTTTCCTTTCTTCCTTCCTTTGACTTATCTATCTGTTATTTCTGATATAGGGAAGAGTCTGCTGAAATGTGAAAACTTTAAATTAGTACTTGCTGAACTATTTACCCTATTTGAGTTCTAACAGACTAATCATTAGACGGTAATTTTAAGGATATAAATAGTGAAACTATTTGTAGAAACTAAATGAGTCCCACAGAAGGAAAAGAATAAGTCTTAGGAAAAAATGTTATGTGAACACATGTAAATCCCCCTTTAGAAAGTAAGTTGTTAAATGAGGTTATTTGTATTATGAAGGGCTTGAGTTAACATGTTAGAATTTAACCTGTTGCTACTACTTTGCTCTAATTTAATCAAATTAAATCAGGATTATTTTAAGAATTTTTTTCACATAGCCACACAGAAATCTAAGAGACCAAATTTTAAAAAAAAATTTTGCTTCTTACTCATATGTTGAGACTGAGTATGGGCTGTATAACTACAAGTCATATGACTATCACATAGTCACTTGCCACACAGTGATATTTCATTTCAATCCATGATCGAGTCATATACGACAGTGGTCCTATAAAATTATAGTACCATACTTTTACTGTGCCTTTTCTGTGTCTAGATATGCTTACACAAATACTTACCATTGTGTTACAGTGGCCGACAGTACAGTCACATGTTGTATAGTTTGTATAGTCACATGCTATCCAGGTTTGTACAGCACACGTTGTCCAGGTTTGTAGCCTAGGAGCAAAAGGCTGTACCATACAGCCTAGGAATGCAGTAGGCTATACCATCTAAGTATGTATAGGTACACACTAGGATGTTCACACAATGATAAAATCACCCAACGACATTTTTTAACATGTCCTCGTCATTAAGTGACATGTGGCTATACTGCAGTGTTTGATTAATGTGTATGGCTCCAAACTACATACAAGAAGCTTGTGACTTTCTTACTAATCACCCCTGCACAGACACACACTTGCACAGATGGCTTCCGAGATGTGGTCTGGCTATGGATGGCATGAATGCTGTTCAGGGGTAGATCCTGATCTGCTGCAGGCAGAAATGGGGTAACTGACTCAGAACAGAGCTAGGGCATGAGGAGCCAGCCAGCTACCGATGAGAGGCTGTTACAGACACGGGCACCATGTGCCAAGGGGCAGGTGATGCTCTTCATGCTGAGTGCTATGCAGAAGGCCACCACTGCTGCTCTTTGTGTGACACCTTGAGCTCACACACTCAGAGCTTTGCCAACCCCAACCTGGGCATATCATCAGTTACATGACAGTAGCACTCTGTTTGTTCTCATTTCTTAGCACATAAAGTTACCAGAAGAGTGAAGATTTCCATCTCTTGGACTAGTGTAAGATTTTAAAATATAACAGTGTGCATTAACTTTGAAAATGGAAATCAAAGGACAGAACATGTCTTTTGTTTTAGTGTAAATGTTTCAGGATTTTATTCACATATTTTCCTCATCACTCCTGTAGCTTGTCCAAGGAGCTCACCTCTAGGTGGAGGAGAGAAGAAATGTCCTAGTGCCACGATTTCGATTTTGGATACATCTTCTTACAGTTTGATGTGTCTGCTCTCTTACCTATAAAATGGGTACAATAATTCTTGGAGTAATTCAGCTCTCAATACCCCTTTCACTGAAAAATTTCTGTGATCTGTGTTCTCTTAAATTATTATGCAACAGTCATATGTATTGACTACTTTGAAATGTTCTGGAAAATCACAACTGTGTTTTTTTTAATCTTTCCTTTTAGGATATCTTAAATACCATTATAAGGCACTGTCCACCTCGCTTTTTCTCCCTGGGTTTTCCTGGCTTCTCAATGCTGGTGGGGGACTTCATCACAGCCGCTGCCAGGGTCCTCAGTACAGACATGTTGACGGTGAGTGTGACAATGCTCAGCATCCCAATCCCAGGAGGCTTCACAATCGCTAACAAGGTTCAGATTTCTACACTCTTAACAGGTGTTGACTCATTAGTGCAATGTGAAACAGGACTCTCAGGGTAGATACCCTGGCAGCTGATGTGTGAAATTGTAGAATAAGATGACACACTGGTATTGGAAAGGCGTTTCATCAAAAGGCCAAAGTGTGAGAAATCATATCCTCACTAATATTTCAGCACATTTACACAGTCAGAAGCATGAATTGTCTCTTAGATTCTTATTAGCATTCTAGTAAATTGTGGTACAGACATGAGTGTCTGAAATAGAGAATTTTAAGTGTCGATTAGCAGTAAGATTTGGTTTTTGTTCCTACGTTTTGGTTATTAAAAGTCTCATAGAAAATATTTTCTTAAAATGTTAGAATACTAAAATTTTAACCAGAAATGAATATATATTTTCTTAATAATGTGCCAGAAAAGCTGACAGAATTGTTGTAGTAAAAAAGTCAAATGGGCTAAGTGAACATTAAGGATGACAAAAAGAACTTGTTTTCACACTCTACTTTTATCTCTTCTATTAAAGCAATATTTTGATATCTTTGAGACAGTGCTCTTACACATTTAAATGTAAAGGGCCTTTTCCATTTGTGCTCTGTACAACTGTTTCCTATTCAGAGTCAGTTTTGCCCTTCAAAAGGTATAAATAAAATTAGCTTTACTATTTACTATGGACTGGCATTCAAGTCAGTACAACTCTCCAACAACCTACATTTTGTTTGATACATGGTTTCTTTCTTCTTTTTTTTTTTTTTTTCTAACTACTTATTTCTTCTGTACAGGATAAATTCAAACTCTTAAGTCCTAGGTTTTAAATTGTTTTCTAAATACTTTATATAGCTGGTATTTCATGCTGGTATTTTCACACACTAACTTTTTCTTAAGGATAATCAGAAAGCAAAGAGAAAGGGAAAGAAACAGGAGTAAAAGGGAAGAGTGAGGAAAGAAAAGAAAGATAAAGAAAAAGAAAGACGGGGCCGGTGGTATGTGCCTATAGCCCTAGCAACTCCCGAGGCCAAGGTGGGAGGAGCGCTTGTCCCCAGGGATTGAGTCCAGCCTGAGTGATGTAACAACAACCAGTGTCAAAAAGAAAGAAAGAAAGAAAGAAAGAAAGAAAGAAAGAAAGAAAGAAAGAAAGAAAGAAAGAAAGAAAGAAGAATGTTTAATTTGCTTCACTTTTTTTGGTAAGGAATATGCAACTTTTCATACTTCATTATTTCTGAAAAAGATTTTAAAATAATCTCAAACTTTAAATTTGAAAGACCATTTCAAATGTATTTTAACCATTCAAATCAACATTGAAAAAAATTACAAGATATGAGAAGGAAAATCAAGTTCTTTATTGAACTTTTTCTTACTTGCTAGGAGAATTTCCTGTAAGAATGCGGAAGCCTTTCTAGAAATAATATTACACATAGTGGCCATTTTCTGAGAGAATTTATCTTGTAGTAGCTGAGTAATAAAAGTAGTCTTCAGACATGCTGTTGGCCCTCATCCTCGGTTTCACTTTCTGAGAGTTCAATTACCCAGAGTCAATGGTGGCCTAAAAATATCAAATGAAAAATTCCAGAAATAGACACTTCAGTTTTAAATTTCGTGCAGTTCTGAGTAGCCCGATGAAAGCTTGAGCCATCCCAGCCCATCCTGCCCCGACATGAATCATCCCTTTAGGTCCAGTAGATCCAAGCTGTATACGCTGCCTACCCACTGGTTACTTAATAGCCATATCTGTTATCAGGTCGGCAGTTATGATAGCTCAGTGCCTGTGCTCAAATAATCCTTATTTTACTTAATAATGACCCTAAAGCACAAGAGTAGTGAGGTTGACATATAATCGTTTGACTTTATAATCTCAAAGAAACTTTAAATTTGAAAGACAATTTCAAATGTATTTTAACCATTCAAATCAACATTGAAAAAAGTTACAAGATATAGGAAGGAAAATCATAGTTCTTTATTGAACTTTTTATTACTTGCTAGGAGAGTTTCCTGTAAGAATGCGGTAGCCTTTCTAGAGATAATATTACACATAGTGGCCATTCTCTGAGAGAATTTACTTTAGAGTAGCTCTCATCAAAAAGACAAAAGGTACCAAGTGTTGGGGAGGATATGGAGGACGGAGAACTCTTGCACACTGTTGGTGGAGATGTAAATTGATACAACCATTAAGGAAAACAGTATGCTGGTTTCCCAAAAAAATTAAAAATAGAATAACCAGAAATCCCATTTCTGGGTGTATTCCAAAGGAATTGAAATCAATGTGTCGAAGAGATATCTGCATTCCATGTGCAGGACAGCTTTAGTCATAATAGCCAAAATACGGAAACAGGTGTCTATCAACAGACGACTGGATAAAGAAAATGTGGTATATAAACACAATGGATGTATTATTCAGTCTTAAAAAAGGAAGGAGATTTCTGTCATTTCTGACCACGTGGATGAATCTGGAGACCACCATGCTAAGTGAAATAAGCTAGTTCCAAAAAGACAAATACTGCCTGATGTCATTTATGTGGAACTCAAAAGTGTCCAACTCCTAGAAGTAGAGAGTAGAATGTAGTTACCAGGCTGGGGTGTAGTCAAAATTGGGTGGTACTGGTCAAAGTATATAAACTTTCATTTATGCAGGATGATTAAGTTCTGAAGATCTGTATAGCATGGTGACTACAGTTAATAATACTGTACTGAAAGCTTGAAATTTGCCAAGGGAGTAGATCATAAATGTCCCATCACTCATAAAATAAACTACATGAAGTGATTGCTTTGTTAATTAACCTGTCTAATTAACATTATCATTTCACAATGCATCTGTATAGCAAAATATGTTGTACATCTTAAATATATATGATTTTTATTTGTCAATTATACTTTAGTGAAGCTGGAGAGAAAAAAAGAATCATCAAAAATTAAATAAATTAGCCATCCAAAATTTCTTTTAAAAAGAGAGCAAATATGAGAATGTTAATGAGACTATTACATAAAAGGACTGTAACTCTGAATTATAGTATTGTCTTATTTAAGTTTAGTATTGTAGGGAACTGGGTAGAGGTGTTTGGATGGAGCGCACCTGCTCAGTCAAAATTTTCAGTTAACACAAGCTAATTACAAGTGTGAAGAACCCCTGCTGTATGGGTTGGTCCCATTGAGGCAATGAGAGGGAGAGAGGAAGGAAGGAAGGAAGGAAAGGAGGGAGGGAGAGGGAGGGAGGGGGAGAGGGAGAGAAATGTACAAACAGGTCACCAGATTATGGGGTAGAAGCTTGTGGCAACAGCATTATTTGTAACAGCCCAAAACTAGAGCCAATCCAAATGTCCATCAACAATAGAACAGATAAATTGTGTTGTGTGCATAGGATGGACTATTATGTACAATAAAAACACAACAACAATTGCATAACATAATGAGCAAAAGAAGTCAGACACAAAAGGTTGAATACTCTCATTTCATTTATTCAATTGAAAAAAACAGACAAAACCCATCTGCGGTGTCACAAGGCAGAATGGGGTTTCTTTGTGGAGGGGAGGCTATCATGGAGGGACACAAAGAAGACTTCTATGGGCTGGTAATGATATTCTTCCTGTTGTCTGTCCCTTCTTCCTTAGGGCTCTGACCTCTGTCATCATTTCTTCTCTCTCTGTACACACAGAGACAGCATGTATTCAGTTCTACTGAACACAAAAAGCTTCCAGATTGTTCTCCCAGACTTTTCTCTTCTAACCTCAAGACAAGCATTTCAGAAAGACTTCTTCAGAACACTAATTCCCCAAGATACTCTAGGGGAAAGGCAAGGAGGAAGGTTAGGTTCATGGTCAGATAATTTTGGGACATACACTTCCTCACTTGGAAATTCAAGTGTACATTAACATGTTAAAGCTCCTGTTTAACTGTGCTTAGCCAAATGTTTCTGCAATTTCTTTTTCCCGGAGTCTTCATTTTTGTTTTGTTTGTTTTTTTGTTTAACATTCCCTATGGCCCTAGTGGAACACACTTTGAGGACCACTGCCTCTAACTCCTTCAGCCTCCTGTCTAAGGGACACCTGCCTTTGGGTGTCACCTAGATGCATCACCTCCATCCCCCAAGCAGAGCACAACTTCTCTTAGAGCCTTTTCTTTCTTCTGCCTACTCTCTGGGATTTCATCACAGTGCCTTGTCACCTTAGCCCTGAGCAGGAAAATGACTTCCCATGCTTCTTCAGGTCCCACATCTAATTGGACATCAAGCCCTCAGGGTCATTGTCCATACCCTTCTCTCTGCTGCCACCTCTCCCCACCACCCCTGCCTCACTGTAGGCCTTGGTCTCAGTCTCACCAGGCTTGCTCCAGGGGTCTCCAGGACTCCTGAGGCAGGTCTCACCCTCATTTCTGAAGTCGTCCTTTACACCCATCAACGGATGAGCTTCTGGAAGACAGTGAGCCTGTCATTTCCACCAGTTGCCACTGGGTATCATTTCTCCATTCACTTTAACAAGAGTTCGAATCCCTCAGGGCCTCTCACTTGGTTCCTTTTACATCCACCCCCTCTTCTCTGCACAGGCTACCACCATAGGAAGTCACTGCCCACCCTTCGCCTTCACTTGGGCAGTTCTCTGTACCTGGAATTTCCTTCCTCTTCTTAACTCCACAACTCTGTGCTGTCAGTCCTGGGTTCATTTCCAGTATTAAGTTACCTATCCTTGGGCAATATACGTAAACACATGGGCCACATTTTCCTTGTCTGTGAATTTGGGTGCACTATAAACTCAGTGTGTAGGGAAAAAATTATCTGTACTTATTACTTTCTTTGAATAATGCTATAGCAACTGTTTAAGATCTTATGTTTTGCAACCAATTGTTACAGTCTGGCATTTCATCTAAAATTTCATTGTGCAAACCAGGCTTATACATCACAGAGTAGTTCAGTGCTGTTCAGGGACGAGCCAACCTCAGCAAAGTCTAAACCAGGACTGTCTCATGGCTGCAGGGCAGCAGTCAGTGAGGAATAACAGACTAGATCTCTTTAGGAAACATTTACTGTGAACCTGCTGTATATCAGGACCTGGCCTGGATGAATGTGATAGGGTCCCTACCCTCATGGAATCAGGTATGTAAACTAAGTGTTAATATTTGCAAATAAGTTTCTAGTGGCCACAGTAGAGTCCTATCCAGGACTCAGAGAGCCACCAGTATAGGAATAGTGACATCTTCATGGTGAGAGGTGGGGGGTGGGGGAGGTGCATACCAGAAAAATCATCATGGGAGACATGATGCTGAAGCAGAGACCAGAGAGATGATCAGTGTCCACCCAGTAAGTGGGCACACCACGCCGTTCTTAATTTCAAGGCAGTATTTGTGGAGCATCTACTGGGGATAAGGAAGTGATGACAACTGTCATAGTCTGCTCACGTGGGGGATGTGAGCACAGACAGGTGTGTACTGTGTCAGAAAGTGATAGATGCAAAGAGGAAACATGAAGTGGGACCATTGGAGAACACAGAGTTGAAATCACAGAGTATCTTGATTTTGCATTAGCATATCAAAAGTTGACATTTTTCAGTGACTTTTAAATCTTGAAATGAAAAAACGAAAAGGAGATAGATGAGGCAAGAGTGGTAAAATCTTGAATATGGGTGTTGGGTATATGGGTGCAATATCCTTCTTACTTTTATGTTTAAAGAGTTTCCTAACTTAAAAAAGAGAAGTAAAAGCAGTAGGTAGAACAGAGAGTGATGGAGGTGGGTGCTGCTCACAGAATTACAGAAGAACTCTCTGGTCAGGTGAGGCTTGTGGTAGGGAGATGCCCTCCTGGCCCTGAGTAGAGATGGCAGAAAGACAGTTGGCTCTCCAGATCTGGAGTTCAGGAGGGAAGTCTGGGTTGGGGAGACGTGTTGGGGTGGTCAGTATACAGGAGTCATTTAAACCCACCAACTGGAGATCCCTCGGTAGTGAATATTGATCTAAGAGGGCTGAGGACAGAGACGGTGCTCAACCCAGAGTTTAGGTTCTGGGGAAATAGAAAGTTCCAGCAAGAGAGACTATTATGTTTCCTTGGGAACCAGGAAAGGTATCCCGGAGATTGCTTGACTCAAGTGCTCCCTCATTTGAGGGAACTGTCCACTGCATCCAGTGCTACTGAGAGGTCGGATGAGATGAGGGCTGGGAGATGACCACGGGGTTTGTACTATGAAGGTTATGTGACCAAAACCTGTGCACTCACTGCCTCACTGGCAGAGCTTAATGTTTTGCTGTAGTGGTTTCAAGTCTTTGTGTTTTAAACATGAAATAAAACATTAAAGACATAGTGGCTGCATCCCTGTTATCATTGCCCCCTTCTGAGCATCATCCTCTTGCTTAGGCTGTCCTCAGTGACTGCCTGGTGGCATCTACTCACACCATGCTCCTGCTGGGCCCAGGAGTCATATAGCCTCGCTCCCTGGGCAGAATGTGATGGAAACTGTACCATGTGGCCTGTAGGTCTCTTCCCGGGCAGACCTAGTGCCTCTCAGACTCCTCCAGTTGTAGTTGTCCTGGGCCACACACTCAAGTGTTCCCTGCCTAGGGGACTCCTTGCAGGTCCATGGAGGTCCTGAGTCCTGCCTTTGCCATCCCTGCTACCTGCAGCATGCCTCTTGCCAGTTCAGCTCACCCCTACTCACCACCATCCTGCCTGCCCCTCTTCTTCTCAGGGCCTCCACATCAGCTTGGTTAGGTGTTTGCTAACCATCCTGAGCAGAACTAAGCCAGGCCTTGCCCCATGGAGTGTCTGTCTCTGTTTCCTGTTGTTTTTTATTCACCTGTGTGCTCAGGAGAACCACACCAGGTAGGAAGTACAGGGCTGACTCCCTAGCATCCCCAGTACACTGCTTTCTTGGCACTGGCTTCACTGAGTTGTGTGTAACTTGCTTGCCTGTCCTCCTCATCCTCCTACCAAACTCCCACCTCTCCGAGGGAGGAACGCTGTCTTTCATTTATACCCCAAGTGCTTAACCACATAGGCCCAGGGTGGACCTGGAGTTAGGTGGCCTCAGTCCAAATCCAGGGTCCATTACATATGAGCTAGATGACTCTAAGGGCCACTTAGCTTCTCTGAGCCTTGGTTTTTTTCTCTAGGAAATGGAAATGATAACAGTCTCCACTTTAGTATGTTTCTGGGAGGATTCTATGAGGGAATTCTTGTGCAGCACTTAGAGCAGTACCTGGCACCACAGGAGAATGCTTCACGTGTGAGCTGTCATTATTCTGAGTGTCACATGATAGTAGACAGACAGGTGGATAGATGGACAGATAGCTGAGTGGATGGATGACAGTCCTGTAGAGTCCTAGTACCTGCTTCATTCTTAGCTAATCATAGCTTCTAGTGTCAACTGAATTGAACTCTAGGGAAATGCCTTCTCTAATAGTTACCTAATTCCAATAATTCAGACAACTAAGTGAAGAGTATCTCATTAGATATAGTGATATATATAGTATCTTACTATATGTTATTTTGTATATAGTATGTTCTTGGTGACACAAGAAATTTGGAAAATGGATGTTTTCTCTTTCTCTCTACCTTCCAATAATTACCTCCAACCCCATTTCCTTATGAATTTTCTTTAAACGTTTTTAACAGCAAAAATAATATTGAGTTGATATCATTAACCCTGCTTTGTTAAGAACATTAACACTAAAGCAAGACAAAGTCATCATGACGGACTTATCTGTCTCTCTAACTCTGGATGAATCTGCAGACCTGTTTTCACGACACTTGTGATATTTTCCATGCCTTGGAAATTTGCTTTTTCGTGTAAGCACATCTCTCTTACTTAAATATTCACCTGAGCAAAAATAACTCGGCATAGTTTGATATTTCATATCTAGGATAAAATAATTTTAAAGATTCCCTCTCAAAAACATGAAGAATAAAACATGTTGCTTATCTAAAGTTTCTAACTTGCAAAAGAAAAATGTGTGCATTTCCCTTCTCATGTGCAGGCCCCGCGCTCAGAAGCCCTCACCCTCCTTGGCTCTCTTGTCTGCTTTCCAAATACCTACCAGGAACTCCCTGTCCTCCGCTCAGTGCCGGGGCTGAATGAGGTCATTATGGGAGCCGAAGATGTCAAGGTACACAGTGCGTTTGACTGACTCTCAAGTTTAGCGTTTTATAATTCTAGGTATATGGCTATCTCTTCCATTATGATACATTTATCTACTTAGCCCTGAAATTTTGCTCTTTTAAATGTTTCAAGAGTTGTTTTTAAAAGGCTATTTTAGGGGCTACATTTGTAAATGTATTAGATTCAGAACATGTTGCAGTCAGAGGTTATAACTATATTCCTTGAGTGTTTTTTATTAAGCCTGTTTATCGTGCCTAGGGATCATAATTATGTAATGAATCATTCTTTGTAATAATTTTATTAGCTTAATTATGCTGCATTAGTGCATCAAATTAATTTATGACAAATAATTGAAATAAGCCAAATAGTCAATCCCATTGTTGGCCTGATTAAAAACTACCAATAATTTGAAATTCTAAGCTATTCCTTGGAGAATAAAAATAAGCATTTGTTCTTAGCTGACTTTGAGACAAACAAAACTGGTTTTAAAATTTCAGAGTAAATCAAGCTATAATACATGGTTACAATATAGACCTCAATGTGCAGTATCTAATCCAATTAAAGTAAAAGGAAACCGAGACTTTTCCTACCTGGAAGTCTCATTTGTGTAACGAGGTTTTCACTGAATAGGAGAAGTACTTGACTCTTACAGGTATAATTGCCCAGGAAGGCCCTGAGGAGACCTCTGTCCATGGCTCCTCCAAGCCTGTGTGCCTCCTCCCCCAGGTCCTCCCTCGTAGGAGAGCTCCCTGAGTTCGCAGGTCCTCAGTAGTTCCTGGCTGCCTGGAACATGGTCGGAACATGTGGGAAACCAACTGTGACACCAAGTTTTTATTTTACTTAATTTTGTGTTTTTAGCATTACCTCATAAATATTTTACTGAAGAATGCCACAGAGGAACCAAATGAATGTGCAAGGTAAATGTTGAATAAGAGGTAAACTATTTTAGAATGTTAAGATACACATTTATGTATAAACAGTTAATGTTTAAAAAAGCACTATTCTTTCACATTACTCTTACACACACTCAAATTATAGGAAGAATTATGTCAGGAAGGTCTTTGCTTGATTATTTAAAAAGGCATCATTATTAAGTGAGAATAGTAAGGTGCAGAAGATTATATATAGTATGCCATATTTTGTGTAAGAAAAAGCAAAATTATAAATATATACATGCATCCACTGATATTTTCAATGAGAAAGAAAAGGGAAGTATAAATAAAAAACATAGAAATGGTGCGTGTGTAGGGTAGTGGTTCTCAACCACTGATAATGTTGTACCCTGGAGACATTTGGCAGGGTCTGGAAACATGGCTGCCAGGCATGTGGCGTTGCTAGCAGTCTGTGATCAAGATATGAGGTTTCTTGGTCCACCTACATGATGAAAAGCTTCTACCTCTGCTCCTGAGGTGAAGCCCAAAGTTGGGAACACTGATGGAGGGGAACACTGGCCTCTGGTACTCAACTCCCTACCCCTTCAGGTCACCAGAATCCCAGCTCATGCTCTTGCTGCCTCCAAGGAAGAGGCTTGTGCCCTGCATAGGTTCGTTCCAAGATGGCAGCCCATCATCTGTCACTGTCTTGCTAACTCTTCAATGATTTTAAGAGCTTTTATTTTCTTTAGTATTTTGTCACATTCTTTCAGTTATCTTCAGTGAATGGTTTAGTCTAAATTTCCTAGTCTATTGTTACCAAAAACTCTGGATTCATTATTAATGTGCAGATACTGAATTAACCCTGCATTTTGGGCTAACCCTAACTTGGTTGGTTTATATGGTGCTGGAACTGGTTTGGCTGATATTTTGTTCAGGGAAGTTACATTAATATTCATCACCTGTAATTTTCCTTCCCATCCTGCCCTTATCAGGTCTGGTGATAAGGTTATATTGTCTCACAAAACTAGTTAAATACTGTTACATTCTCTTTGTTCAGAGTTTCTGCAAATGAGTTAATATTCTTGTGTATTTATTAGACCTTGATGGCAAAGCTGTCTATCTAGGTCTAGTATTTTCTTTGTAAGAAAGTTAACCACTGACTCATTCTCTTCAATGGTTAAAGTAATATTGAGGTTTTTCTCCCCCCGCCCCTTTTTTGGGGCAGTTTTGATAAACCAAAGTTTTCTAGGAATTTGACCATTTCACCTAAATATTAAAATATACTGTTTCCATGATCCCTCTTACCTTTTATCCCTTTTACTTTTGAAGTTATCCTACTTTTTAATCTCTGATACTGTTTGTGTATTCTCTGAAATTTTTTCTTTTTTTCTCTTTTTTAAGAGATGGGGAGCCAGGCTCAGTGGCTCAGCCTATAATTCCACGCTTTGGGAGGCTGAGGTGTGTGGATTGCCTGAGCCCGTGGGTTCGAGACCTGTCTGGGCAACTTGGCGAGACCTCATCTCTACAATAAATCAAAAATTAGCCGGGCATGGTAGTGCGTGCCTGTAGTTCCAGCTACTTGGAAGGCTAAGACGGAAGGATTGCCGGAGCCCAGCAGGTCGAGGCTACAGTGGCTGGGAGCAGTCACTGCACTCCAGTCTGGGTGACAGAGTGAGATTCCAACTCAAAAAAAAAAAAAAAAAGAGAGAGATATGGTCTCACTCTGTCTCCCAGACTGGAGTGCAGTGGCACAATCATAGTACATTGCAGCCTCATAGTCCTGGGCTCAAGCCAATCTACCTGCCACAGCCTCCTGAATAGCTTGGGACTATAGGCGTGTGCCACCACACCCAGCTTGTATTCTGATTTCTAAACTAGTCTCACTAAAGATTTGTCAACTTGATTAGTCTTTTCAGAGACTAGCCGTTTGCCTTGTTCAGCTTTTCTAGTCTTTACTTGTTTTTATTTCCTACTTTCCACTCTATTTTATTCTTTCCTCCATTTTCTTTACATTCTGGTATTTCCTTTCTTTTTAAGTTGTATACTTAACTATATCAATCCCCTGCCTTTCTCCTTTACAAATATATGCATTCAAAACTATATGCTTATTTCTAGGTGCTACTTAATGTGAATTCTGTAGGTTTTGATGTATAATATTTTTCCATTCCAAATATTTTTACTTATTATTATTTCTTTTGTGTCATGAGTTATTTAGAAGAGTGTTTCTTAATTTTCAAACATACCGTTATTTCTCTCTTTTTCTCACTGATGTCTTAGTTAATTGCTTGTGGATCAAATTGTTGTCTGTCTTTGAAATTGCTGAGCTTTGCTTTATGGCCCATATGTAGTCGTCTTTGTGAATGTCCCATATATGCTTGAAAAGAATACATGCACCATTCCTTAATTTATGGGTATAGTATTCTAGGTGATCACTTACTAAAAAATATATGTTAAAATCTTCCACTATTAAGGTGCATTTACCTATTTATCTGGTGTATCTGTCAACTTTTGCTTTATATACAGAGGGTGCAAAAAATGAATACACATTTTAAGAAAGAAGAAACAAGTAAAATTGTAATACTCAATAAGATGAATACAAGTCATGTTTGACTTCTGCAATTACAGGAGGTGCTCAAACTGGTTACCATCAGCATCCAGACACTTCTGCTTATGGCAAACTAAAAGTAATGCATGGATAACATCGCTTAAAATGTGTACACATTTCTTTGGTACCCCTGGTATTGGATGCTATGTGATTAGTTACATAGTAGTTTGGAATTGTCCTATCTCTATAGTGACTCAAGTCTTTGATATTCATATAGTGCCTCTCCTTATTTCTAAGGATGATTTTAAATCTTAAAGACCACTTTGATATTCATTAGTTTCTTTTTATAATATTTTTCATCCTTTTAAATCATCCTTTCTGTGTTCTTCTTTTTTACATGTCTTTTCAAAAACTGTATATGCCTGGATTTTAGATGTCCATCTTGTCTAGCCTTTATTTTTATTTATTTATTTATTTTTTTCATTAATCAGTATTTTTTATTATGGTTTTGTGGGGTACAGTTAAGGGTTAGGTGTACAATGACGTTTCATTCAGGCACCCTGTAGATAAGAAGTGTTTTCCCATCCCCCGACAGATATTTGCTACTGTTAATCCCATCCTCCTCCCCCCCATAGTTTCCCAGTACCATCCGTCATTTTCTCATAGTATTGCATTGGATGTTCAAGGTCCATTATATGAGTGAGAACATGTGATATTCGGATTTTTGTTTTTGTGAGAGGTCATTCAGTATTATAGACTCTAGTTCCATCCAGATTGCAGCGAAATTCATGATTTTGTTCCTTTTTATGGCTGCGTAGTATTCCATCGTGTATATGTACCACATTTTTTTAATCCAGTCCTCTTTTGATGGGCAGCATGGTTGTTTCCAGGTTCTTGCTATTGTGAACAATGCTGCGATAAACATACGTGTGCAGGTATCTTTTTTATAGAGTGATTTGTGTTCTTCAGGGTATATTCCCAGTAGGGGGATTGCAGGGTCATATGGAAGGTCAATTTTTAGAGCTTTTAGGAATCGCCACACTGCTTTCCACAGAGGTTGCACTAGTTTACACTCCCACCAACAGTGTAGAAGTGTTCCCTTTTCACCACACCCTCTCCAGCAGCTGTTATTTTTTGAGTTGTTGATAATTGCCATTCTGACTGGAGTTAGGTGGTATCTCAGTGTGGTTTTGATTTGCATCTCCCTGATGATTAGTGAGGTTGAGCATTTCTTCATGTGTTTGTTGGCTGCTCGAATGTCTTCTTTTGTGAAGTGTCTGTTCATGTTTTTTGCCCATTTTATAATGGGGTTGTTTGTTTTCTTCTTTTCAGTACGCTTCAGTTCCTTGTAGATCCAGGATGTTAAGCCTTTGTCAGATCTAGAGTTGGCAAAGACATTTTCCCAGTCTGTAGGCTGTCTCCCTGCTCTCTTGATGGTTTCTTTGGCTTTGCAGAAGCTTGTCAGTTTAATAAGGTCCCATTTGTCTATCTTCTCTCTTAAGTCCTGTGGGTTTCGGGTTTTGTACAGGAATTGGATGCCAGTTCCGATTTCCATGAGAGTATTTCCTTCCTTTTCTAAGGTTCTTATGGTTTGAGGTTTTACATTTAGGTCTCTGATCCATTTGGAGTTAACCTTTGTGCATGGGGATTGATAGGGGTCCTGTTTCAATCTTCTGCATGTGTTCAGCCAATTTTCCCAGCACCATTTACTGAATAGGTTCTCCTCTCCCCATTGGTAGGTGGTGGGGGTTTTGTCGAAGATGAGTTGGTTGAGAAATTGAGGTTTTGCTTCTGGAATCTCAATTCTGTTCCATTGATCTATATGCCTGTTCCTGTACCAATACCAAGCTGTTTTGATGATTGTAGCTTTATAGTAGAGTTTGAAATCTGGTATTGTGATACCACCTGCTTTATTTTTTTTGCTGAGGATTGTTCTGGCTATTCTTGGATGTTTGTGTTTCCATATGAATTCCTGTGTTGTTTTTTCTAGGTCTGAGAAGAATGTTGTTGGTAATTTAATGGGTATTGCATTGAATTTGTAGATTGCCTTAGGTAAGATGGACATCTTCACAATGTTGATTCTTCCGATCCATGAGCATGGGATATTTTTCCACTTGTTCATGTCGGCTTTGATTTCTTTGAGCAGTGTTTTGTAATTTTCATTGTAAAGGTCTTTCACGTCTCTGGTTAGGAAGATGCCAAGGTATTTCATTTTTTTTGTGGCTATTGTGAATGGAACTGTGTTTTTTATTTGGGTTTCTGTTTGTTTATG